AAAAAAAAATCAGGTGATGATTGTTCAGTGCCCATAGCTCAGTGGTTAGGGCGCCAGCCACATACACCGGGACTGACAGGTTTTAACCAGGCCCTGGGCCTGCTAAACAACAATGACAACAATAACAAAAAACAGCCGAGTGCTGTGTCAGGCATCTGTAGTCCCAGCTACTTGGGAGGCTGAGGCAAGAGAATTGTGTAAGCCCAAGAGTTGGAGGTTGCTGTGAGCTGTGACATTACAGAACTCTGAGGGTGACATCGTGAGAGTCTGTCTCAAAAAAACAAACAAAAAATGAAAATCAGGTGATGTTAACCATAGTTTGTAGGTACAATGGAGTTGCTTAAGACAACTGTGCTGTGATCTTCCAAACAACTGTAATTAATAAAAGCTACTATTTATTGGCTACTTAAAGTAGGCCAGATACTGAGCAGAGGATGCCCTATTGCATACTCATTCATCTTCACAACAATCTGAGAGAGGGCATTCTCCAGTTAGATAAATGATGAAAGGGATAACTTTTTTCTACTTATACCACTGATCATATAGTCCAAATTCATCAATTTAAGAAAGTAACTCCCCCCCAAAGATGATTTCTCTCTTGAGTCACATTAACAGAAGCACCTCTATATTAAGACAACAGTATTTGGGCGGCGCCTATGACTCAAGGAGTAGGGTGCCAGCCCCATATGCCAGAGGTGGTGGATTCCAACCCAGCCCTGGCCAAAAAAAAAAAAAAGACAACAGTATTTTTTTTTTTTTTTTGAGAGTTTTAAGCTGTCACCCTGGTAGAGTGCAGTAGCATCACAGCTCACAGCAACCTTAAACTCTTGGGCTTAAGCCATACTCTTCCCTCAGCCTCCCAAGTAGCTGGGGCACTGCCAAGAGAACAGTATTTGAAAAAAGCTATCAACTGGAAAAAAGAACGGTATGGGAAGAATCTAGGCACTATGTGACCCCAGATTAAGGAACAACTGTAGGAACTGAAAGTGTTTAGCTCAGATGTGACTAAGGGGTACCAAGTGGTGTCTTCGAGTACATCTATGGCTCTTGTAGAAAAGAAAATGAAGTCATGATTATACTAGAACCTAGATATAGTGACTGGAAGGAACCAACAGACAAATTTAAACAAATTTGGTAACTTAAGAGAAGGTAAGGTCTCCTTACCTAACCTCTTCATACATCAGTCTGTCTTTTATAGTAGAGGTATCTGCTCACTACAAAGAGTGGTGAGGATTCAATGAGATGGCTCTAATATATGACATACAAAGATTTCATTGAATAGATTGAAAGTTGATTTGAGGTAGGTGGTGTGGCTCATGACTGCAACCCCAGCACTTTCAGAGGCCAAGGAGAGAGGATTGCTGAAGCTAGTGCAAGACCAGCATGGGCAAGATAGGAAGATTGTCTCTATGAAAAATAAAAAAATTAAGCCTAGGCATTGGAGGTTACAGTTAGCTATGGTCGCACCACTGTACTCCAGGCCTGGGAAATAGGACATCCTGTACAGACAAAATGGTTCGGTGCCTGTGGCTCAAGGGGCTAAGGTGCCAGCCACATGCACCTAAGGTGGGTTCGAATCCAGCCAGAAACCCCGCCAAACAATAATCATGGCTGCAACCAAAAAAAAAAAAAAAAAAAATAGCCAGGCATTGCAGCAGGCGCCTGTGGTCCCAGCTACTTGGGAGGCGGAGGCAGGAGACTGGCTTGAGCCCATGAGTTTGAGGTTGCTGTCAGCTGTGATGCCACAGCACTACCCAGGGGGACAGCTTGAGGCTCTGTCTCAAAAAAACAAAATCCCCCCAAAATTGACTTGAGTAGGTTAGACTTAAAAGATTTTTAAGTTTTCTTCTCAGTTTTTGTGATCCTGTGTTGGGACAAGGTCATGTTAAGCATCATACTCTGAGATATTTAAGAAGTAATACATTCTTTATTAACTCCTACTAATTACCTTTCCCTTGGGCCTCAGCTATTCCTGACAAAAACCTCTGGCTGGTCTAAATACATCCCTTTTTGCTTGTCTCCCATAATACCCTCGTTTTCCCTCATAATTGCAACTCAGAATTACCTGTTTATTGACCAGCTTCCTCACTAACTACAGATTCAGCTGTGTCCATGTCGTTCGCAGCTGTTCTCAGTGCCGAGTACACAGTAAGCACAGTATTTCTAAACAAATGACTTTTCATTGTCCTAAAAAATCTCTGTAACACTATTTTTTTTACTTAAAGAAACTAATCTCTTAGCCAGCCTGAGCAAGAATGAGACCCTGTCTCTGAAAAATAGCCAGGTGTTGTGATGGGTGCTTATAGTCCCAGCTACGTGGCTGAGGCAAAAAAAATCACTTGAGTTCAGGAGTTTGAGGTTGCTGTGAACTACGTATGATGTACTCTACTGGGAGCAAGAAAGTGAGACTCCCTCTCAAAAGAAAAAAAAATCTCTTGGCTGGGTGCAATAGCTCGCTCTTGTAATTAAAGCACTGTGGGAGGCTGAGGTGGGTAAACTGCCGTAACTCTGGAGACCGGCCTGAGCCAAGAGACCCCGTCTCTACCAAAAGTCTTGTGGTGGGCACCAGTAGTCTCAGCTACTTGGGAGGCTGAGGCAAGTTCATCACTTCAGCCCAAGAACTTCAGGTTACTATGAGCTAGGCTGACATCATGGCACTCCCCACCCCCCACCAAAATGATCTCTTGAATAGTGTTTCACTTAGTAGAACTTGGCAGTTTCATATTCAGTATATTTTATCACACAGCCCGGTAGTCCCACTTCTACATATTCATACAAGTAAAATCAAGATGTATATTACACACAAGCCTATATGTAAATGTTTATAGCAGCTTTATTCATAATCACCCCAAACTGGAAACAACCAAATGTCCCTCAGCTGGGAATGGATACAAACGGTCATACATCCATTAAAAAGGAACAGATTACTGACGTATGCAAAATGGTTGAGTCTTTGAGGCCAGACTCAGGTTATAAACTGCATGAGACCAAGTATGAGTACTGCAAAGAAATAAGGATAGTGAACAAGTCAGTGGTTACCATGGCTAGGTTGAGAGGGGATTGGCTACAAAGGGGCATAGGCTAACTTTGGGGATGATGGGAACCTTCTTTAATCTAGTTGTGGTTATTGTATACATTTGTCAATTTCTATAACTGTCAATTTTCCAGTTATATTGTATACATTTGCAGACCTACTTCGAAGAGATTAATTTTACAGTAAATACCTCAAACACAAATTTAAAGTTTCTTGCTTCAAGCTTTCATCTTTTGCTTAGAATTTAAATATCCTTTATGTATCCCATGAAGACTGAAATTTTTTAACCCTTACAGATCCATGGGCCTATTAAAAGTAGTCTAAGGTAAAACACAAACTTTTGACAGGTGGAATACATAGGTCAGAGCAAGAGATTGTTTCCTCAAATGAAGCCTTTTGGAATTAAGCTAGGCTGTAACTGTAATAGTCACTAAAAAACACTTGAACTGTTTGCAAGGCCATGTTTACGAAGTACTAACCTAGTGCTAATGGTCTACTGACTTGTCAACATTCTTTATGGAGCAAGAACTGAAGCTGGATTGAGGTTATTTTGGAACAAATCCTATCCCACCAGGAATTGACTTCCTTGAGAAAAATAGCTGAGAGCTGATACACCTAAGAATTAAGGTGATTATCAAGGGGACCATGGGAAAAGTAAAAGTACTGAAATTGAGCCCCTTACACGGGTATACTGTGAGTTAGAAGGGAAAAAGAATCAAATACCTTAATGACAATGTTTATATAACTAGAATGCCTTTTCCTCTTTCATCTCTATTAGCAGAACTCCTAGGGTGAACTTCAAGTTCACATGTAAAGTTACAACCAAATGTAGCCTGTTCAATATAAAACATGATTTAAAAAGTACAGCACTAATTTTAGGCATTCAATTGTTTTGAAACCCACTGCAAGTGTTTTGTACATTCCAACACAATCACTGTGTAAAATATGCTACACTTTATCAAGTTTGAAAATTCATCTGTGTACTGAGCTAGTTGATGCTGAGTGCCAGTAGGTGGTGCTCATACAAGACAGTTGTCTTAATTGCACACTAGGTTTCAGAGGAACTGAATCTCAGGATACAAATTAGCTAAACTGGAGCTTCCAGTTGTTCCTTATCCCATGGTGGTAGCAATTTTCCAGTTATACCTTGATTCTTGGGCGTGTAATCAGCTTATGCCAATTTGGCTTAACACACCTATCGGCAAACTAGTCCTAAGAATCTTACCTTTGTCTCCAATAAACAGCAAGCTTAAAACAAAGGAAACCGAGAACAGTCAATTTATAGTCCCACAATGCCTAAGAGCACTGTTAAGTGATAAGGCATTTTACCCAGCACTGATTGGAAAGGTTTAATGTCTTTTCCTCATTTATCTATGGTCACTTCAGGCAGCTCAATCAGGTATTTTGGAATTGAGACCTTTGCTTCTAGGTGATCATTCTTAAACCCCTTAAATCCCTCCGAAGTTTTCCTGTGTAACATGTTTAACAAAACTTTCTTTCCATAATCAAAATAATCATTTAAAGTCTGCCTGACACACAGAATTACTGTCAAACCCCATGGAAAAACTGCTGTATTTCAAATGCCAAAGTATCTAAAACCAGGAACTCAAATGAGTCATCACTGTCTGTCACTTAAGGAAACAAATGTACCTGTTATGACCCCTTAATTTCCTTTCTATGACCCACTGGCCCTCCTTTAGTCCCCTCTGGACAATTTACAAGTTGTTGGTTATTCCAAAGAAAGATGTGGCAGATCCACTTCTGTCCAACTAATTAGGTAGTTCAAAACCTTAAGCTAACTAACTAACATTTTTGATTACCTGCGCTGGTAAATCAGTATCACTTGGCAACTTCCAAAACTATTTCGAACTAGAATAAAGCCCTCAGTTTGAGGTACCAGTTTACCTCAAAACGCTTGTCCACTGTCTAGTAATGTTATTTTTTACACAACTTTGTATTCACATGAAATTCCTACGGAAGTAGGTTAATAGTTAATCCTCACAGTCCTTTTCCTAGCAGTGGAGTAGCTTGATACTACTTAATTTTACATTCAAGTAACTAACAGCTACTTTATAATCCCTCTTCAGTAACACAAACATCAACTCAAGCATTGTTTTCTGTTTCAGCACATCCATCACCTGAACATTTCTAAAAATTTTCGTGCTGACCAAAAGACGACACAGGTTTCTCATTAAACTTTGTTTTAATGGGTCTCAAAATTCTGTGACAGATTTTTGGTCATGTTGTTTCCATTAAAAAGTACTGATTTTAAAAACTAATAACTTAAAAACTGCCACACAAAAAGAAACAAATGGTCCACAAAACATTTTCCTTTCCTTCTGAAGGTTTTACGATGCATTGTTATCATTAACCAGTCTTTTACTATTAAACTTAAATGGCCAATTGAAACAAACAGTTCTGAGACCGTTCTTCCACCACTGATTAAGACTGGGGTGGCAGGTATTAGAGATAATATTCATTTAGCCTTCTGAGCTTTCTGGGCAGACTTGGTGACCTTGCCAGCTCCAGCAGCCTTCTTGTCCACTGCTTTGATGACACCAACAGCAACCGTCTGTCTCATGTCACGAACAGCAAAACGACCTATTAAGACAAATTTAGGTTTACCATGAGAAAACACTTGGTTCACAAACAGCATTTTTCCTATTTTACTTATTGTACTTAAGTAGTCATCCTTACCCAGAGGAGGATAATCTGAGAAGCTCTCAACACACATGGGTTTGCCAGGAACCATATCGACGATGGCAGCATCACCAGATTTCAGGAATTTGGGGCCATCTTCCAGCTTTTTACCAGAGCGGCGGTCAATCTTTTCCTTCAGCTCAGCAAACTTGCAGGCAATGTGAGCTGTGTGACAATCCAGTACAGGAGCATAGCCAGCACTAATTTGGCCTGGATGGTTCAGGATAATCACCTTGGAACAGAAATTTGTGTTCAGTGTCTTAAAAGACTTTGGGCTCTGAAGCAAGTTAGGAACATGGTATTACAAATGCCTTACCTGAGCAGTGAAGCCAGCTGCTTCCATCGGTGGGTCATTTTTGCTATCACCAGCAACATTGCCACGACGAACATCTTTGACAGACACATTCTTGACATTGAAGCCCACGTTGTCTCCTGGAAGAGCTTCGCTCAAAGCTTCATGGTGCATTTCCACAGACTTTACTTCAGTTGTAACATTAACTGGAGCAAAGGTGACCACCATGCCGGGTTTGAGAACCCCAGTCTCCACTCGGCCCACAGGGACAGTACCAATACCTAGAATGGGCAGCATAACACTTTAAGTAAAATGCAGATGGCATTTATCCAAGCCTAAGTTCTGCCTTTAGAGTACTTTAAAATGCTACTTACCACCAATTTTGTAGACATCCTGCAGAGGCAGACGCAAGGGCTTGTCAGTTGGACGAGTTGGTGGCAGAATGCAATCCAGAGCTTCAAGCAGTGTGGTTCCACTGGCATTGCCATCCTTCCGGGTGACTTTCCATCCCTTGAACCAAGGCATCTAAAATAAAACAGAAGACTGTCAATGTTAGCATCCAATGGCCACTCCCAGAGCTTTTCAACAACTGTCTCAAAAGTCACTTACGTTTGCACTTGGCTCCAACATGTTGTCACCATTCCAACCAGAAATTGGCACAAATGCTACTGTGTCAGGGTTGTAGCCAATTTTCTTAATGTAAGTGCTGACTTCTTTAACGATTTCCTCGTATCTCTTCTGGCTGTAGGGTGGTTCAGTGGAATCCATCTTGTTAACACCAACAATTAGTTGCTTCACACCCAGTGTGTAAGCCAGAAGGGCATGCTCACGGGTCTGCCCATTCTTTGAAATACCAGCTTCAAATTCACCAACACCAGCGGCAACAATCAGGACAGCACA